TGTCAGTGCGAACAATTATTGCTATCAATTACGGAAGAGGAACAAACACGATGCGATGCTTATCTCGAGCGATGCCGAGAAGAGAGAGAGAGAGAAAAAGAGGAAGGAGAGAAAACGCTCCAGGTCATTGAACAATGTCTTACCGAGCGACGCATACTGGTGCTCGCCAGCTGTTAGACATGCATAAATGCCGGTTAGGTATAGTATAACGCCGTGGAAACCGTTGCGGCCGGTACGTTACGCCGCATAAAACGATGTTTAACGACCGTTACGCCGCAAACGAACCTTAAAGATCGACTTGACTCGAGCACGTTGGAACGAGAAGTCGAACCGAGGAGAAGAAAATAACGTCCGCGAAAAACCGAGAGACAAGAGGAGCCAGACAAGTCGACGACGATGACGACGACGACGTTTCCTCTCTCGCGCGCGAGAGTTTTCTTTCCCGTCAACATAGCTCTCTACGCGAAGAATCAATAAACCAGCAAAAATCTCACGCTATACATAGTCTCGCTTCCTCGTGTGTATCTGTGTGTGTGTGTGTGTGTGTGGAATCCTCCTCGGAATTACAAATAAAGGAAAACAAGTCTGACAATCGAGTCGCGATAATTTTATTACCGAGACGCTAAAAATACACGACACTTTCATGTGATGCGTTAAGAATTATTTTGAGATTCCTCGCGTGTTTGGTAGTTCGTGATTTTCTACGACATCCGAAAGTACGCCAGAGTTATTGTAACATTTGGTTTGCTAATGCAATTACGGAGCTAGTAGATTTTTTGTTCATTAATCTCATGATTAAATATTAGATTGACTCACATATAAATAAGTTCCGATTTTCAGACAACAATTTATCTCTTTCGAGATAATTCGAATTTGTTGCAATTCCAACCAATCAGTCTCATTTACTTGACATTAAAATGTAAATATTATAAAATAAATAAATAAATATAAATAAAAATATAAACAAATGCAAATCAATGGAAGAGCTAAACGCTGTAACGTTAATAAAACTTGTTATAAAAAAAATATTCTTAAACGTTTCTTTGGACTGACGTATTTCCGTGTTCTCATCCTTCAAGTAAAACACGTTGATGAACACGTTCGGGAAGTTCTTTCTCGAGAGAGTCGAGTGCACACGCGCAAATATAAGACAGAAGAAACTAAAGATAACCCACAGCCGAGCTATATCAGACTTATCTCGTTCGATGATGCGGATCTTCTCGCGCGGTGCGGCTCTCTCGCTCTCTTTCTCTCTTTCTCTCTCTCTCTCTCACTCACTCACTTCCCGCATCTGGTGCAGCCAGATCGATCGCCGTTAGAAATTAAACATCGCACGCATTTTCGCTTCTTTGTCCGCGAGATGCGTGCGCGCGAATCGCTTTCCCGTCAATTGAAAGGAAAAAAACCGGTTGCGTTTTCCATCGCGTTTGTTATAATCTCTCGGTCACGGCAGCGTTTTCGTTCTACTTCCTCGGTAACAGACGGGTCGCTACGAATTAGAGACGAGACGATTAGAGAGATAAAGTTGCGTTATCGCAATGGCGTTGGCGTTTTCGCGAACTTCGCGGCATCATCGTCACCTTAACATTGAACGCTTCGGAAATTCGGAGAGACAAAAATATATCTCTCGGGTTTATCGCGCGAGAGGTGACTTTCGCGTGTCTCTTGATCTTTTTTTTTTTTTTTTACGATGGTCATCTGGTCGATTGGACGCGAGAGAGGAAGATTAGAAAACACACGTGCCGGTATTTTGCGTGAAAGGTGCGCGGTGGTATTTTTAGCGGCTCATTCAAATTGTAGCAAAGTCTCTGTTTTCTCGGCAACGGGAGAGACGGGACTTCCCGTTCCGTTTGCAAGCTGTCAGTTTATATCGCGCGTGTATCGTCGTTTTAACCGCCGCGGCGGTTCTCTCGGAGAACGATCGTTCGTTGCCTCTCTGCGTTAATTAAATATGCAAAAACAAAATGAAAGAATAAAAAAAAAAAACGTGACTAGCGCGAGGAGAAATTTCCGCTTCTGACGAGAGTTTAATTTATCCAACCATCAGATCTCGCGCGTACCCGAGATCTCGGACGTAAATTACGAGTCTTTAAAGGATCCGAGGACTTGAGCGCGGCCACTAGTTGGAAAGATGCTGAAAGACTCAGAGCCTCAAAGCGGGAAAGGAAGAAGATGGACATCGGCGACGAGCAGCGGCGACGGGAGCGCGAGGTTTCTTCTCACCAAAGACCTCACCGGGGGGATGGAGCTGGGGGGCGCGTTTATTAATGCGGGCCTAGGTCACGGGCGGCGAAATGTCCCTCTCGGCTTTGCTCGCCCGGTGTTAGTTCGTAAGAAGGCCAGTGGCCGGCGCTCTCGCGCGCTTCACTATAAATAATCGTATGCGCGAGTATGTCCAAGTATAGCCCGTTGGGAGTGTGCCAGCCTCGGGCCTGAGGAGGCCTCAGCTATTTTTGAGGGGCTGTCGCCGCTGCTAGCGCGCTCGTTACAAACAGCCGCGACGGACACTCCGAACGAGACTGCCGACGGAGATGCTCTGCCCTCGCTATCTCTTTCCTCCGAGCGTGATCCCCCTCTTTGATCCCCTCCTCCTCATCCGTTCTGATATCAATCCCTCTTCTTCCGCGCTCGTTACAGCCGCGACCTTGAGCAAAACGAGTCTCTTTCCTCCTCTCTCTCTCCCTCTCCGTTCGGGTCGATTATGTCGAGAGACATAATACGAGAGATCCACGGAGTTACGTGATTCATCCCCGCGCGAATGAGAGATAACAAGAGGACTGGAGGAGGGGAATTGCCGATTTCGGAAACTTGTATTCGCGCGTGCCGGTTTTTCACGGCCAAGCCGGGAGAAACGAGGACTCTGATTTTTAATATGCTGGATGACTCGTTTGTGGCCGCGTATGGGGTTCTTGCGCGGGTTACGCATGGACGCACGAATGAACGTTTATGATACAACGCGGCTTCCATGAGATGTTGAAACGCGATAAGAATCAACGACGTGTGACGTGTCGCGAACGGTACATACACCGACGCGATCGCTGAAGTTAACGGACGAAGAGATGCAATCGGAGAGAAAACCAGTTGAAACATACAACACCGTCTCTCCTCGCGAGAGAGAGAGAGAGAGACAGAGAGAGAAACAAGAAAGTAAAAGGAGATCGAGCGAGAAATGCGTGTGTTTGTGTGAAACTCGAGCTACTTGTGATATTTCACATAATCTCACTCGACACAATCATGCGGTTAGGCATAGTTTTCGAGTTAATGGCATCCTCTCCGTTTCAATGTGATTTCAACGAGGAGATTGCGCATAATCGCGAGAAGAGACCTTTTTGCGTTACAGAAGTGAGAGGCGATGCAATTACAAACAATATGAAGACACTCGCACATACACAGCGCGTTCGTATCTTTGATAATTTATCGAAAGTTTATCCGCGCGTACATATTTAATAAAAAAAACCTCTCAAGATTATTTCAAGCGGAATCACACACCGATGTTTTCTCCGTGTGAGAAATGCACGATGAAGCAATCGTCGTCTTTCTGCGTCGCCAGATATAGAAGTGCCAATGAGTTTGCACATCTCTCGTTAATGCGAGTTGACGAGTTGACGCGTGTCTGATGATTTTTCGCAATTTATTTTATTTTTTTTTTTTGAACACGAGATATAAACTTTCTACATTTCTTCTCTTGCGAAAAAAAAATACATGTAAAAGCCCACCAGAAGAGTCAAATGTTTTTAAATACACAAATGTTAATGTTTTTAAATAATAATAATATATGTTTAAGTTTCTTTTTTAAATGTACATTGATTTTTAAACGCACATCGATACGTTCGTTTTATTCGTCTCCGAGAAGTCAAATTTTAATCTACTCACATGTGCGCGTCGGCACAGCGCCGTTTTCAAATTTCCCGCTTTCTCGTCGAAGGTTAGGTGGCATATACAATATACTCCATTTGCGGCAACACTTCCTTCCAGAGCATTGGAAAGCGTGCAGTTGCTCACATAGAAACCACGTTGATTGCATCGCGCCGAGAAAGATAGAGAGACTGCGATCTCGCGATGATTTTCGATTCGTCTGTAAGACGACCGGACGCGGTTCTGAAAAAAAAAAAAAAATGTTTTTGAAAACTGGACATAAGCCGAACGTATGTACGATCGACTTGACGCTCATACGTAACTGTATTGTCAATGTCAAAGGGCGCTGCCGTATCCAGTAATCTGGTCTGCCAGTGAAGCGTGCGCGTTCGAAGCGGGGATTTTGTTCGGAGTTGCTGTCTGAGAAAATTGTCACGGACTCTGGGCGTGTGCTCGCGAACAGTTCTTTAATTTTTAAATCCACATCCTGGCGGGGTTGTGACGAGTCTTGTTTACAAAGTAAGTTGACGGAGATTCCGTTGTTCCGTCAGCCGGGCGGCGGCGTCGAGCAAGTGCGAGGTTGCTCCCCCGCGTTGCGCCGCCGTGATTTGGCACGCAAGTTGTCAATGACAATCGATCCCGAATTATCTGGGTCAGAGGCCATCAGCCGTGTTGGAGACTCGCCGAATTTAAATCCCGGCACATGTCGATGCGACCAGATCAGTCGATCACCGTCAGGACTGCCTGCCGCCGCGTTCTGTTGATGACCGCTTCCGCGTGATAAAGAAAACCTGTCGGTCGTGGCGCGCCCCTTTTGTCTCTCTTTCTCTCTTTATCTCTTTCTCTCTCTCTCCGCGCGTCCATGCCGCCCTTTGAATAATTGATCCGAGCCGACCGACAGGCGTCGCGATAATTATCACGAAACGTCACTGACGCGACATAATCCTTTTTTCTCGGTCGATAGCGACTAAGCCGCGCTAATGCCCTCTCGTCGAGCGAATGAGCAAAACCTGACTGTTTAGTTGTAAATGCGATCTCTTGCGTCTTACCTCGAAAAGACACGTTAGAATTCTACAAAAAAAAAAAAAAAAACAATGTCGAGGAAACACTCGGTTGTTGATCAAGAACCTTGGGATAATTTGCAGACTTCCTCGTCGACCAAGACAACCACCATGACCACAGCAGCCAAACTGTACGGCAAGGATCTGAGCGAGTACGATGACATTGACGTGGATAAGTTATTGGCAGAACTCACGCCAGAAGAACTCAATATGCTGGCCAAGGAAGTGGACCCTGACGTAAGCTTTGTTTGTGAGATAATTTTAATTGCTTGTGTTTGAGAGATACTGAATTTACTTGTGTGTTTTACAGGACAGCTTTATGCCACCTTCCCAGCGTTGCAGTTACGAGTGCAACAAGAGTCCTACAGGGCCACTGAATCGAAAGAAACTCATTGAGCACATCAACAAGCAAGCTCTGGAAACGCCAGATATTCCAGAACTGAAACCGTACGTGCCTGGTGTGGTCAGAGGCAAAAAAGTAAGTACAGATCATAGAACAGTGACAAATCATCATAGTTGTTTTGTACAATGTGATAAAAACAGTATCATATTCGCTAATATCGCTTTCACTAATTACATATTGCGTTACGTGGTTTCAGTGGGTACCTCCGCCACAAGAAAACATAAAAGAAAAGGAGGCGGATGAACAGATTGCGATAGATCTTGGCGACGAGTACGAGCAAGCGCTCTCGGCCGCCACCCAAGAAGAAATCATTGATCTTGCTGGTAATCAATCGTTTCTAGAATCGCTTATTGTGTCAGAAAGATAAACAATTGAGACGTGACCTCTTTTTTTCAGCTATTCTTGGATTCCATTCCATGATGAATCAAGATCAGTATCACGCGTCTCTCCTGAATTCTGGACAACCGGTCGGACTCGGCTGGGACGGAGTTACGAAAGCTAGTCAACCAAAAGTTTATCCGATGGAACCGCCTAATGACACGGATGTTGACGCTACCATCAAACAAGTGCGAGACGACGACTCGGCTCTGACTGACTTAAATTGGAACAATATCAAAGTACGCATATATATATATATATATATATCTCTTTCTTTTTGTCACATTTTGGCAAAGACTAAAATTATTGCAATTTTGAAGTGAAATTAATCGAGTCTCTGCTAGATCAGAAGACTTTTTAGCGAGGATTTGAACCACTTCAATACTATATTCTATTCCTGGCTAATGGCTTATAGGACGCGTTAGTGCGTTACAAATTACGTTTGCACACTAAGTTGACAATCGTTGGTTTTTTTATTTACAGAATATTTCAGATGAAAAGTTCATACAGTTGTTCGAAGGTCTGGAAATAAACACACATCTCGAATCATTAAGTTTAACCAACGTTGGACTCAACGACAAAACTGCACAACGGTTGGCTGATGCTATCGAAAAGAATTCGACACTCAGAGTGCTCAAGTTTGTATTTTACGCATCTTTTCGCACACAAAAATCTAAAGCGCTAATTGATGTCGTCATTGAATTTTTATTGTTTTTCAGCGTGGAGACGAACTTTATAAGCCCACCTGTGATAGTGAAGCTGATCAGATCTCTTCTCAAAACGAAGTCTATCGAAGAATTCCGATGTTCGAATCAGGTACGTCACGATGTAAACGTGTAAATAAATATTTTGTGTGTAAAAATAGCGCGACGGAGAAAATTTATTACCACTCACGTCAATGATCTTTCAGAGGTCGCAAGTGCTGGGTAACAAAATCGAAATGGAGATCACACAATTGGTAGAACAAAATCCGACGTTGTTGCGACTCGGGTTGCATCTAGAATTTAATGACGCTAGACATCGCGTCGCCGCACATCTGCAACGCAACATTGACAGGAGTAAGTACAGAAAAAACGTAATTAGTTATTAGAAAAAAGAGTCGGAGATGTGAAGTAGTGTCCTGAGAAACAGACAGGTGTATCAATGAGCGAGACGGCAGCTACAACGGCTGTTTAGAAGTCTACTCCTAGAAATGTAAACTTAAGTATCGAAACAATAGCCATTAGAAGAGAACTAATTGAAACATCAAAAGTATTAATTTCGAAAGTAGTGTTAAAAATATAGAGCAACAATTGTGAGATTGCAATGACAATTAAAAAAATAGAGAGAGAATACGTAGCAGAACGAACGAAATCTCACTGCGAATGTTATTCGGTAATGAATTAAAGAACTGACGGGGCGTCAGGAAAAAGCTGACACTTGAATTTGCGGTAGAAAAGCGCACTGTCGACGAGTAAAAGTGAAAATTTATATTAAAAGACTTAAATGTGACCCCGCTTATGCGCTCACTTAGAAGAATTTCCAAGTTTGTTATTAAGAACCCGAGAATTTCTTCATCAAGTGACACGCGAGATACGATTAGTTTTAATTAGTCTTAATTTACATAACGAATTACTTTTAAGATTTAGCGCGAGATGTAACAATGTTTCAGCGTATGTGTGTGAGAATGAACAGAAGATCTTTCTTACAGGACTCTCTATCTGGGAAATGTTTCTTGTACGCGCGTAACACACTTATACATATATTTTGTAGAATTAAAATGAATATTTTTTGCACAGAAGTCGTCGAGTGCGATGTTCTTTTTCGCAGGTCAATAATCTCGCGAACGGGTGTGTTCGCAAATTGTGTGCCGTGTGGCGTATCCCAAAACACATTTAGTTTCTTTCTCACGATGGATGTTTTTCACGATAATCGATAATTGATTTTCCGTCTAGATGGAAGCAATTGTATGAGGGACTATGGAGATCATCACGTGGCGAAATGCTTCTTCTAACTCACACCCCAGAATCGAGCTTCGTAGTCTCACGTAGAGCTTTACCGTAGAGCACATCTCTCATCACTCATCCACAATTCATCCCGCTCATTTATCATTTTTTCTAGCTAGCGATAGAGGTAATTACAAGATCCCCGACCGATTTATGTCTACGACCGAAAAACAACGAAACCTCCCGGTTTCCGACGGTGGTTTTCAAGCCGTTAATTAATTTTTTTCTTTTTTAGATGTTAGAATGTTTATAAAAAAAAAATCTTATGCCAAAAGAATGTTTTGGGATTGTCGCTTGAAAACTACTGTATTTTCGTGTTGTAACTCCTTTCTTCTTCCCCTAACATTTGAGTTTTTAATCGCTCCTCTATTTTATGTATTTGATTCGCTTTTGTACGCAAGAAAAAATTTTCGCAACCAGCACAACCGCCGATAACTGTGATCTGTTTGTTTTTTTTTACTTTTCAGCGCGAAACACAGAGAAACGAAGATTATAGGGTAGTTTAATTTGGTATGGATCTCTTTGGTCGATTTTCGTTTTTCAATTATATTCTACCGCTTGTGTGCAACTCAAATAAATAATTTTACGCTTAAGCCCGTTGATCTGATTCTTTAAAATAACAAGCAAAGAGCTTCTCTTTTCTGTGATTTCTCGATTGCTTCGCAACACGAAGCGTTGCGAGATGATGCGTCTTCGACCTAACGCTTGAGTTGTGCTGATAACTCGCTTAATTACACACTTTGACAATGATTACACCGACAACAATTATATCGCGTTGAAATCAATTCGAAAACAATTTTGTTTTTCTCCTTTAACGGCACGTACCTTCACACGAATTCTTGCATCAAAATACTCGAAATTTCTTGCGATTTCCGAAATTTTTGTGGTAATTTTTTTTTTTTCAAAAATTTAACTTCCCTGTAGCCGAATAAAAAAATCAAATTACTGCGATTTTAATCGATTCGTTTATCTGATTAGTCTGTCGTGTGGAACCCATGGAACGAGCTAAGCTTGCAGCGACCGCTGCTAGTGGTCCTGCACCAATCACCGCTTTTCCTGCAGATAACGTAAAAAATAGAACGTAGCGCTATAAGTCGCGGCGCAGTAAGTAGGTTTGTTTGTTTCTTTGGTCACAAAAAGTGAGTTCGTCCTTTCCCACGTGATAATATTTCGAGATTACATTGCATTTTGATTTGAAATGTTTTTTTCCTCGCGAGGAGAAAATTCGCTATAACGATTACCCTCTCTTTCAGTGCTAAACTGCATCGAATTGTCTTTTCTCGGTCTTAAAAAAAAAAACAAAAAAACAAAAAACCAATTAAACAACACAAAAACGACTAATTCTACCTTCGCACGATATTATTGTGCATCGTCACAGAATTGTTCCGCCCTTTCTGTTTTTTTTTTCGTATTCCTTTCAGTTATTGTGTATTTTTTTTTTTTTTTTTTATTATTAACTCTACGTTTTTTTTATTAATTCTCGTTCTCACGCCTAACATTCCTAACATATTGTCACACAACACACATGTAAAGCATGAAACGAATCTCTGGATTTTTCATATTATTCGCGCCCGACGTACTCTGGCGATATTGTATTTTGCAGGCAGAAACCAATGCGTCCGTCACAGCCCTTTGTGTCACATCCTATTCAGCCGATGAATATGTACCGTATATATATATATATGTATATTGTATATAAGTGTTCGTCACACGACACGTTTGTTCTCCTCCTTGTAAGAGGCGGTGTCGATATCGAGAGAGCGGCTGGGTGCTCGTCTCTCGACTCTCGAGATGCGCGCGATATTTTTTTTTTATCTGATTTTTCAAGAAAGGAAAATCTTGATCTTGATTTTCGTCACTTTTAAAAAATAGATTAAAAGACGAATAGACGCTTGAGAACAGAACGTGATCTTGTCTCGAGAGAAGACACCGCCGATCAGTCTCCGATATCGTTCACCATCCACACGAACGAGATGTAGATTCTTGCGAGGCCAATTGCTGCGACGTATATACGTGTATTCACTCACAACATTTTTCTATTCTTTCCCAACAGTACGGAAAGATCTAACGCTGCGGCTACAGTTCCGATTCTTTAACATGAACCACAGGAAACCTGCCTTGATTCAATGAAAGGTAGCTGCACCCCGTTGTGTGTGCTAGACTCCGTTTCAGCAGAGAGTGCGAGCCGCATCTTTCCCCGCCTTTTGGAGAAAGTTTAACCAAAAAACCAAAAAAAAAAAAAAAAACGCTACTTTTGCAGCTTCACTAACACGGCTTTTCGAGAAACGATTAATCGTTCGTTCGATCCGGAGTAAATTACACACTCGTGGAATTCGTTCGCGGACGTGGCGACGCTTTCGCATTTTCTCGCAATTCGACGCGCAACGGAATCCGAAAAGTAACCACGCGCGAATGTTGTTTTTCAAACTCCGTTCCGCGAATCAGCTTGCACACACGCGCGCGCGACTTCGGAGTCGAATTTCGAGAGGAGTTAAAATTTTCTTTTCGCATCTCGCCGCCCGAGTTTCTCTCAGGCAATGGAATTGAAACGATAAAAAAAAAAAAAAAAAAAAAAAAACGAATATTACTATCACGTGTCTTTCGAGATAAATCAACGTAAAAAATTAGTTCTCGAGACGTCACGCAAATGCAATTTTCCCGGTGTTTTTTTTTTTTTTTAACGTTATTATTTCTCGACGTATGCAAAATGCATTAATTGCCGTAACTGTTATCAAATAACATGAATGTTTGAGTATTGAGTTACGCGCGACACGCGTAACGGTATTTCTAACTCCATTTTCTACGGCGTATAAAATATGTATTAATCGTCACAATCGTTATCGAACAACATCGGGTTTCGCGACAGTATTTTTATAATTTCATTTTCCGACGTGTGTGATATTAATAAATTAATCGGGCTCTCGCGAGATACTTAATTCTCGATTAGTTCGATTAAACGCGATTGTCATCGAATGAATATATTGAACTCGATTATCAAAGGCACCGTTCGCTGAATCTCGCGATATGTATGTTAGTTGCGTGACTCGGTGCGGTTTGACGTATACGGCGCACACCTTTCTTGACGGCGCCGCAATGAGATTTAGATGCATCCTATCAAACCCAATGAAGTCGTGACGCGTTAATTTCCACGGGAGAAGAGAGCCCGCGGGGCTCCTAGGAGCTTTGTTCGCCTCGCGTGACGTCCTGCCGACGTTAACTCCGTCAGCTCCCCGACGAGGAAGACGACGGTTCAACACACGCCGACGTTTCCCGCTACCGAACTTGACTGACGTCTTATACCGAGCCGAATTGCGTCTACGCTGTTCGCGCGCGAGAGAAGGTTTTTCTCTCTTTTTTTTTCCGCTTGTTTTTTTTTCCTCAAGCACTCAATTATACATCTGTTCCGTCCGTAGGAAAGTTCAACCGAGCCCCCGAGAAAATGAAAAGAACGAAGACGAGTTGATTGGTTTTCTTTTTCGCGGAGCAATTAGCGTCGAAAAAAAAATCGCGCAACATTAGCGCTATTTTTGTGGGAATGCGAAAGCACACGCTCGGTCTCTTAAGATTCTTGAATTTGTAATAAAACTTGTAATTTGCAACGGATTTCGCGCAATTATCCGTTTGTTCGAGCGCGGGATCTCTTCTTGGAAAATAGAATTGATTTAAACTGTCTGTGGATTCTTCTAAAAAAATTCAGGAGCCGTCTGATATCTGTCGGTTATCGTTAAAATTCGCGAAATAAAATCTTTAAAATTATCACGTTTCTCTACTGTTTCCACTTTTAACTCTCTCTCTCTTAGCTTTCTTTTCGCGTTATCGTTGCGAAATTTTATTAGCTTTGCGCGGGAAAATTTCTGGAATTTATCTTTCTCGGGAATTTTACGAGGCGCTAATACAGAGATCGGGGTGTCATAATGATGACAAAACGCCCGCGAGGTGCGGTTGTTTTTAAAATGCAAATCGTCCCGAGAGAAACAATTCACTCTTTCATCGGGCGGGGAGGAGAAGGGGGACAGAATTAACGTTCGCGAGCCGCGCGTTAATGAGCCTCGCGAACGTTCGCGCAGCCGGTGCAAAATTGCTAATATTTATCCGCGGATTGCGCGCCGCGGCCTTTTAAAATAATATTCCAGTGCTCTCTCTCTCTCTCTCTCTCTTGCTCATCCCTCTCCCTCCCTACGGTGAAATGTTAATTGTCGATGGTCGGGTTGTGCCGCTCGGCGCGGCGTCGGGATTTACAGGAGCGACGGTGCGGGAGGAAAACCTCGCGCGCGCTCGTAACTCGTATCTTTACAGATCACGTTTCATCGGAAAAACCGAAATGAATCGTGAATAATCGCGCGACGCTGTTATTACGCATTAAATTTCATGAACTTTTAATTAAGTAGCTTTTACGGCGCTCCGCGCGCGGAGTTCTTCCGATTAATCCTCCGCATTTTTGTTTCGAAGAAAACGCAATTAATTTTCATGCGTTATCGCAATTGGCAGAAAAATGCGGTTCAACAATTCTATAAGTTCTACTCGTTTTAATCGAATGCTCGCGCAACTGTCTTATTATGAAAAAATACGCAAAAGTGCAAATTTTTCTGTTTATTTTCATTTTATTTTTTTTTCAATAGAAATTTTACTCATTTTGCAATATGAATATATATTTTTGTACAAAATGAGATTAACGAGGTGTCATAATTAATATCACTTTTGTTTTTCGTTCCAATCACCAAAAGCTTCTCGTTCGTTCTGCGATGCCAATTCCGCGCGAATTTATTTTCGGGTAAAGAAAAATTTAAATCGCGCGCGACAATTATTTAACGCGCCTTTTCGATTGAAACGTCGTTCTTTTCGGGATCAAATCAGCGACGCGAAATTCACACGTCGCGTATTCGCGTAAAGCGAATATATATGTTCGAGATGTGTATTCGACGATATATTTCGTCGCCTTATATTTCGGCAACGAAAGATACGCGTGTAGAATGAGAATTTCGACTTTCTCGCCTAGAGAGATCGCGTTTCTCGCGGCTTTGAACCGACGCCGCGCAGTTTCCATCTCGCTGCGATTTTTCTCTCGCACACAGAGAAACGTACTAAAAATATTCCTCCGGATGTGCGAAGTCTCTCTCTCTTTGGAGACTCTCGCACACACGTGCATTAGATTAATGATTCCTGCAACTGTCTGACGACTAACAGCAACGTTGTGTCCCGCCGTTGTGTATCTCTCTGTCTGTCTGTTTGTCTGTCTGTCTTTGCCTCGGTTTTCACCGAAGGATCTTTCCTACTAACCAAAGAGACATGAAATTTACGACCACTCGCAATCAAGCTGCTTCTCGCATTTCCGTTATTCGTTTCGCGATGCATATTTAAATCCGCTTCGGGACGGGGGAGGAGGGAGGAGAGGGTTGCTTTGTCGTTCCGTCTGTAAAGCTCCATCGGGCAGAAAATTCAATGCAACGCAAATGGAACGACTGCGATCTTTCTCTCTCTCTCTCTTTCTCTCTCGCTGTCAATAAATTACCGGCCTTTTAAGCTCCCCGCGCGATGTCTCTGTGCGAGACATAATTACACGCGCGTACACACATAATCGCGGAAAAAAAAAAAATTCAACGGACAAGGCGCGGTTAAATCGCGAAAAATTTCTTCTCCGTGCGCGAAACACGATTATATTATACCGCGTGTATGCGAAATTGGAGGATCTTCTCCTCTTCCAAACTCGGCGTGGGAGATATGCGAGAGCGGCTTTTTCGCGCGAGTGTTCGTGTGTGTGCGTGTGCGTGCGTATTTTTCAACGGCATGCCAAGGTGCGCTCCAAGTTGCGGCGCGCGTACAACATGCAATGCGAGAAGTGCGCGCGCGCAAAAGAGAAAAAAAAACGAAACTCGAGAACAGATGGTTTTTAATCCGTTATTATCTACCGTTGTTGCGCGTTCTGAATTCGAGAGTGCTCTCTTGCAGAGAAAAAAATCGCGCGCGCGCGCGCGCGCGATGTGTTTTCATTATAAATAAATTAAAAAACAAAAAAAAACATTTTTATTAACGCGCACAACGCGAATCTCTTCGCGCGAAATAATGAATGATATGAATTCGAGTTGAGCGAATAATAACGATAACAACACGCGCGCAACGCTGAAAATCGGCACTCGTTTAATCGTCGAGCGGCGTAAAAAGAAAATTGCGCTCTCTCCCGTTGATGGGAAATCCGCGCCGCGTTTTCGCTCGATAGGGCGAAACAATTTGGCGAAAACTGGCGCGCGCGCGCGCGAACGTACGCGAGAACGAGATATAATTAAAAAGCGACGAGCATTTGGTAATCCGCGGGGATGTTTTATGTCTTCGAGCGCGCGCGGGCGTTATTTCCTGCCGGCCGCGCGATGGGAAGAGGATTACTATTTTTACAGCCGCGTCGTGCAATATGTATCGCGTTTCGAAATATACGTCCCTTTAATCACGTAATGTTTGTTTTTTTTCTTCCCCTCCTCTCCGCCAAACAATAGCGCGCAATCCATTTCGCGTCGCGAATAAAAATCGACGATCGTTTCGACGTTCGAGAAAAATGACGGAGAGATGTGATTTCGTTCACCGATATCGAGAAAAATAAGTCCGGTCGCGATGTGTAAAATTTAGTCGGTCGAGATAAGAATTCGCGCGCAAAAAAAAAGTTCGCGATAGAATTTTTTTCTCATACGCGAGATCCGCGAAATCGCACTTCTCGCGCGACGCGCCGCAGCTCGCGCGACGTTTCTGTGACGTTGTTTTGTTTTTCTTGCATATTCTTTACCGACACGCATCGGTTCGGTAAAGCAAAGCCTTTTTTGTTTTTCTTGTATTTGGTTGCTAAAACGCCATATGATGACAGTGTTTCGGGTGTCTGTTGCAGTACGGCAGTCCCGGCTCGGGGTGGCGACATCTTAACGCGAAGTGGCGTTCGCCTAGGTATTATTTGTACATATATGCATACTTAAATCACGCACACACGCATACATCATGTATGTAATAAACATATATATCGCGCAAACACGTACAAAACACACGTTTTTGCACATCGACCGATCTCTCTCACCGCCGCTATATGTCACCGCTTAAAGGCTTTAACCCACTTTTGTCCCGTTGTTTGCGCCAAAGAAAATTGTCACGTATCTCTC